TGGTGGTGCTGCTTGTTGTGCGTGCCGGGGGGGGGGGGGGGGGGGGGGGGGTATTTAAAAAATGGGAAAAAAAAACCTGGTCCTAGTGCTGCTCCAGCGAATGTGCTCCCTGCGCTTCAGCCTGCCTTCGCCCACCGCTTCCATCCCGGCTGGAGAAGACGCTTGTGGTGGTTGGGAAGGAGCCTCCAACATCTCCCCAGGACAAATCATCCCTGCTGGGCTTGGGGAGGATGTTTTCTCTCTCCACTGCAGAGCAGGGATTTGGGGACCCCTGCAGTGGGTGGGTGTCTGGGACGCCGGGTGCCTCTGGGCTGTGGCTCCTTGCATTCTGCTTAATCTCGAGTTCGGTTTCTTCTCTTCAGGAAAAAGAAGCTGCTCTTCTGGGGGGGGCCCAGCAGCATCGGCACTTGGCTTTTATGTGTAATTTTGACCTAAAAAGAAGTGAAGAACCCAGCTCAGTAAGGGGCTCCCAGGCTCTGAGCTCCCCTGGGCATCCCCCACCCTGAGGACCCCAGGGAGTGACCCGAGGAAGCTGGGAGCAGCTCAGCACCCAGCACTGGGACAAGGAGCTGCTGCTGCCCCCCAGCCAGGCTGTTAAACGCTTTGCTGCAATGGGAGTGACAGCTCCGGAATCACATCCAGGCAGTGCTGGGATGGACAGAGGATTTCTCCTCCAGGCAAGCTGCCTGCCGGATGGTGGAGGACTCCACTGCAGCTCCCCTGGGAAGGGATGCTGCTGCGCCCACCTGCCCAGCAGGGGATGAGTGTGTCCCTGTCCCAATGGCTCCTGCAATGGCTTTCCACAAGCTCAGGGCTGGCATGGGTGCAGACAAAAGTCACAGGTGGCCAGGCCCTATGGCTACCCACCAGCAAGCGCAGGAGCCTCCCTCCAACTCGAGAGGCTTTGCCATGCTGCACACGTAGCCAAGGCTGCCCACCCTGCTGCCACCCCCTGCCTGCCCCATCCCGCTGTGCTGCCAGTCCTTGCCTGCCCCAGCTGCCCGTGGCAGAGCTGCCCCCTCCCTAGGGACTCACGGTGCAGGACGGCTGCATCCAGGGCTCCCCGTCCACCTGCATGGGCAGCAGCTTGGATGTCCTGCAAGGCACAAAGAGAGGGAACACAGGGTGACACAAGTGCTAGCTTTCACCGTCGGTCAGGCACTCAGCTGGGACAGGGACAAATACCTGATGGTGACAGATGAACACTGGGCCAGCCTCTTCCCAGCACTCTTCAGCCCCGTGTAGATCTGCCCCATCTCCATCGCACCCTCCAGCCCTACCACCTCCAGGAGGTGGTCGCTGAGGTCTGCAAGAGAGAGGGATCCGAGTTGGTCCCCCCGTCCCCAGCGATCCCCTGCCTTCCGCCACCATCCGAAACATCAGGGCCAGCACAGTGGGGCTGGTGGCGTGATGGGGATGTGTCATGATGTCCTCGGTGCCCCAAGACTGCCGAGCTGGGCGTTTGCAGCATTGGGCAACACTGCTGTCCAAAATCCCTGGAGCAAAAATACTCCTTATCTGAAACAGCACCTGGTCCTGCATGGCTGCAGGGTGGCAGCCTGGATCCCCACCAGCTCTTTGACTGCTTGTTTGCAGTGTTGTATTAAATGGTGGCAGAATTTCCCCTCCCCTGGGTGCCCTGGGGTGCTGCAGCCCCCCGGGAGCTGGGATGCACAGGGGAATCCTCCCCAGGAGGGATCTGCTCAAATCCCAGGACATTGCCCCTTTTCCAGCTCCTCCTGCTCTTCTGGGCCGCCAGCAACTTGTTCCATCTCTCATTCTCTTCAGGGTCCTCTTTCACCCCTGCTGGAACCTCCCCCCAGGAGAAGCCCCCCGAGCTCCCCCACACCTCCTGCCCACCTGCAAGTAGGGATACACCCAGGGGACTGACCCTGCTGCCTCTCGCCACGTTTGGAACTGGCCTTTGCTCTGACCCACTCCCTGCTGCCTGTTCCCACGAGTTTTCCCGGCGAGGGACAGCTGGTGACAGCCTGGGACGATGGGTGACACCACCATCCTGGCAGCCACGCGGCAGGGGGGCTGTTTCCCACCCCAGCCCTGGGCTGCGGGAGGTGCTGGGTGGAAAATACGGGCACTTTGCCTATTTTGCTGGCTGCTTTCTAACCCACTGCTCTGTGCTGAGGAACCCTGCCAGCTCTTTGGGCTGCCTGCACCCTGCCCATGCCCACTGGGATGGATGCAGTGGCCACAGCAGTGGGTGTGAGGTGCCGGTCAGGGCACAGCACGGGTACTGTGCTGTTCCCGAAATCCCCCAGCCAAGCTGGCAGCGCTGCAGCAGAGCCTGGGAAGATGCTTACAAAAGCCATCGGTGCCAGCTCTGCAGCTCCGCTTCCGACTCCTCCTCTGCAGCAGCAGGCACCCAGCTCTGCAGCGGCTGTCTGCCAGCCCTGCGGGGCGCCAGGGGCTGCCCAGCCTCACGCCCGCAGGTGATGGGTCCCATCCGGACACCCCCCCGAGCTGTGACGCTGGGAGGGTGGGGGGAGATGTGGCTGGCAGGACACAGGAGCCATGTCCTCTCTGGCCACCATGGCATGGCACAACCAGCCCTCAGAAACGCGGTGCTGGGCCATACCCAGATGGGCAGAGCCACCCTTCTTTGCCAGCTTGGACAGATCATTCTTGGGGTCACCCTGACACCCCAAAAGACAGTGAGCTGATAGCAACCCCTTCAGTGCTGTTGCTCCATTGCCACGTGCACTGAGCCATGGCCAGAACCAGTGGCTGCCCAGCTTCCCTGTGCTAATCCCGCTGACCCCACGCACCCCACAAACTCCAATTGCCACTGGGCCCCGCCGCTCACCCTGCACACAGAACTTGAGCTCCTTGGCATCGGTGACCACTGTGGTGTGCAGCTTCTCCGGCGCTTTCTTGCCCAGCCGGTTGTAACCACGCTGCTTCTTCGTCTCGCCCCAGAGGTTGGAGCCACCGTACATGCTGGGGATGTTGAGGACGGCAATGCCCTCCAGGGATGCGTTGCTCAGATCTAGCAGGGTCCCATCGCACTGCCGGGCACACGGGCAGCATCAGGCTGCGGGGTCGGGGGGAGCTGGTGCCTGGCACCGCAGAGCCCAGCCTCCTCTCCCCGCCTGCCTGCTGAAGGAGTGGGGCTCCCTGAGCGTGGCGTGCCACCGGACGGTCCCCAGAGCAAACCTGCCCCAGGGCGGCACGGGCAGTCCCGAGGTGGTTGGGGCTGGAGGTGCAAACAAGTACCCTCTGGTTTTGCTTTTCTAGGGCTGACAACCACCACCTCCCCTTCCTTGTGTTGCTTTCCCCTCTGTTTCAGTACGAATCTTACTACACATCCAAGATGGCAGTTTCGAAAAGCAAATTTCCTACGGGAGCACATAAAACTTTGGCTGGGCTCAGTGCTGCAACCCAAAATAGGATGCAATACCACCTCGGCCCCAGAGCGACCTCCATCCAAGCATCTCCAGCGCACGCTTCCCCACCTCCCTTTGTTCAAATTGACCCCAAAGAATCAGAAAGTTTGGCTGCCCAAAAACTAACTCAAACCAGTTTGTCTTCAAGCACAATTTGGAAACTAGAAATGAGACTGGAAGAAAATGATGGGAAAGGTTTCAGAGGAAAAAATGTCAGTTTTTGGAGAGAAAACCACAAGGCAGTGCACAGAACTGGTATCCCGGGCTTTGCTGTCATACAGCAGGACTGCTCCCGCTGAAAATTCCCTGTAAAAGGTAAAATATCTGTTGCCTGTAGCTTTCCCACAGGACTGGAAGCAGCAGCCATGGAAATGCATTTCTTAACTTCAGGTCTTCTCACTGTCATGCTACCTAGCCGACACTGGATCCCCCTTCTAGATACCTCTGGAGGAAGCAGCTGCTTTCCCATTCAATTATATTGTCTTTAGAGCATTTGTATTTTCCTTTACACATCTGCTCTCTACCTGCCACGCTACGCTTCAGCAAATACAAGCACGTTATTTCCTTGCATTTTGGTGATGCAACAGCATTTCTGCCCTCTCTTGCTTTGCCGAGAGGAATGCGAATGGGCTGATGAACCCCTGCTGCTGCTTTGACTCCAGTTGTTTTCCTCTAGCAAAGAGTGAAGGTCTCGAGCTTATTTTTAATACCCTGTCAGTAAGCACTGAGCACACCAGCCGTATGTATGTGGAGCTGAGCATGCATCTCTGGATGTTCAGATCTGCTCTGCCTCCCCTGATGCTCCGAGATCTTATTTTTAGCCTCGCATTGAAAGCAAAAGGCAGGAATCTTCTGGTTTGGGAGTGAAGAGCTGTCTCTCCAAGGCTTGTAAAGGATGCAAATCTTTTCATTCTCAATACATCTTTATGATATTATGATTTGTATGAACAGAAAAGACCCTAACACTCTGAGCAGCGGATACCAAGTGAGAGGGCTCCGATGCCTCATGGGATGGACAACACATCCCATGCCTGGCTGAGCTGAGCATTGCCCCTGACTGCAGGCATCTTTCCTGCCTGCCTGTGAGGTGGCAGGTACCGACCTGGCTGTGGTGGGGAGCAAGTTGGCTGCCCAGAGCTGCCCCGGCTGCAAGACTTCTGGGGATGCTGTGGGAGTCTGCTCCTGCCTGGGGGCATGTGGAGCGGGCAGGACCATGGCTGCCCACGCCTGCCCACGCACATGCGTGCGGGGAGTGATTTCTCCCTGCGTAGCCCTCCCCTGTTAGTGTGCCAGCAAGCTACAATGGGCTCTTTGAGCAGGGGCAGCTGACGGCGCGCTGGCAGCGATGCTGGAAGTAGAAATTTGCAGCTGGGGAAAAAGCAAATTCATTTCCAGGAGCTGTAGGGGAACGAGTGCCAATTTCCAAAACAAAACTGCCATTTCTCTGCAAGGCTGACAGTTGCCTGGGAGCCAGAGGGAGGACAGGCTGCCGCTTTCAACTTCAAATACTGCGGGATTAACACTTTCCTGCCGGTGCGGTGCAGCTGGTGCCAACGCACACTTGGCAGGGAGCACGCGGGGCACCTCATGAGGAGCGGGGGGCACCTTGCACCCATCTCTGGCAGCATTGAACCCCACAGACATGGACTTTATCCGCATCGGGATGCTGGTGCATGGCTGGCAAAGGGGGTGAGATGGCCGTGCCCCTGCTCCTGCCCCTTCCCACCAGCTGCCAAGGGCACAGCTACCCCCTTCTGGCTTTGGGAAGGGCTGAAACTCCCGTGTAGAAACAGACTTCAAAGTCCCCCTGCACGCGCTGCACTGCCAGCTCCCCAGGCTCTGCCCGCTCTCTGCCTGCTCTCTGCCAGCAACCCTGCGCCCACCGCCTGGTCCAACTTATGCCAGCCCTTTGCAGCAAGAAACATTTTTTTCCTCTCACCCTCAAGCCTGAGTTATAAAAGGGTCGTTTATCCAGAGATAAGGAGAGGCGGAAGTTTGCAGCAAAGCATGGCCCAAACCCCCCAGAGCGAGCGGAGAAATGACAGTGCTCTTAGCAACCACGGGCCCTCCTCCCAGCTCTAATTAAAGGCTGTTTCCATGTCATCCAACGAGGGCTGGGAGCAGACGCAGAGTTTACAGAGAGAATATTCCAAGCACGTTCTTGAATACAGCTGGAAGGGGGAGTGAAATACAGGGCTATTCTTCTGCCTGCAGCTGGCTGCCTTTGCAGCAAGCGCCGCACGGTGGAAGAGTGGGTCCTGCCAGCCACTGCATCCTCCTGCCGTTCTAAGGGGTCAAAGCTGCTGCACACCCTCTCACTGAACAGCCAAAAGCCCTGCCCGAGGGACCCGTGGGCAACATCTCCCAAAAAGCCTTTGTGCAGCAGCTGGAGTCAGGGACCATCCCAGGAAACCCACCTCCACCTCGACATAGTCGTGGAGCTTCTTGCAGGTGGCCGCAAAGGTCTCCGATGTCCCGAATTCGAAGTACCACAGCTTGTTCTTCATCCTGGGGCACAGAGACGCATCAGCATCCTGCTCAGGCACGGTGCCCCACCCCAGCCACCCCCAGCCCAGCCGGTGTCAGGATGGGCTGCCAGAGCCTTTCTGGAGCCATTGCGATGGGGACATGAGCCATTGTGGGGATGGACCGCTGGTGTCACGGCCCCACAGAGCTGTGCTGTGGGACAGTGGGTGGCTCAGGTGGACCTGGCTCTGACACCCTGCGGAGGGGAAGGATGCAGGTGCTGGGTGGTCCCTCAGCATGGGACGGGGTGCCTTCACTGGCTCTCAGCAGAGCTGAGTGTGGGATGTCGTCTCTCGATGGAGCTGCTGGAGATGGGGTACCCCATGGAGGAGATGTCCCCCACCTCAGTACCCTGCCTCACACCCTCCCGGCACCCTACCAGGCAGCCGCTGACCACTGCTCATCCCCTGTATCAATCGCTGTGCCAGGCACCAAGGTGGAGCTGTAAGCTGAGGGGAGCTGAATTTCAGAGCAGAGCCAGGTGCTTTGGTCCCTTCGGCGTTTTTCTAGCAGGTATTTCTGAACACGGGGATGGGGGTTGCAAGCCACGGCTCCTGCTGCCATCACATTTCCATGCACCCCAAGCACAGTGGGAGCGAGCTGCAACCTGCTGCCTGCCCTGCCCTCACTGCCTGGCCTGCTCCTGCCGGTCCTGGAATTTGGTGCTAATTATAAAGCATGAATGAATGTAATTGGGTGCACAGCCAAGTTTGAGCAGGCTGCCACGCTGCACGGGGCCCGAAGAGCACCCTGGACCCCCACCATGCCTGGCTCCTGCCCCCAGCGATGCCTGGCACGTCTCCTGCCTGTCTCCTAAGGCTGGCCAAACATTGCACCACATCCTCAGGGCTACTGCCAGTACCATGGGGACAGGGATGAGAGGAGCCTGGTGGGAGGGGAGCAGGCTCTGGTACGTCCCCTCAAGCGCAGTGCATGGCAGCGGCAGGGCATCCCCCCCGCACACAGCTTTTGGAGGGACCATGGGCAGCCCTTACCTGCTGTTGAATTTCTCAGGGTGCTTTTCTCGCATGACGTGGAAGCGGTGGGCGATGGAGGCGTCCTGTGGGGAAAGCAAGTGCAGAGATGTCCGTGGCACAGCAGGGAAATAGAAACTCCCTTCTGTGCCCCACCAGCACATGGCAGGATAAGGGAGCTCAGCTCTTCGCCCTTGCTGCCAGCCCCCATGGCACAGGGGCACAGCACAGGGGCCATGCCAAAGCAATGGAGGCACCCTCAGCCAGGCTGCTCACAAAGCGTTGAATGGGCTTGTTAAGCGAAATATAATTAGTGCACTTGGCCTCCTTCCCTTATCACAGGGGCTCTGCATGGAGGTGATGCTGAGGGAGGGAGGAAGGGCTGCTGGCAGGGCAGAGGGGCTCTGGGGACACCCCAGGACCCTGCACCCTGACAGCTCCCCTGGCAGGGTGGCAGCTCTCCTGAAACTCATCCCAACCTCTCCCATGCGGAGTGGGGGGCATTTAAGCCCAACTTGGAAGCTGTCACCAAATGCCACCTGCAGTGACATCGCCTGGCCTTAGCAGAAGCTGATGTGAAACTAGAAGCATCCCGCAGTGCTGCCGGGTGGGTGACCCCCGCCATGGTGGTACCGCTCAGGCACCCATGGCCCAGGACAAAAATGCTGCAAGCCCCTGGGAAAAAAAGCGCTTTCCACTTCACTGTTCCCCCAAAGCCCTGCTGCTCCTGGGATCAACCCCCAGGGCTGCGGAAAGCCCCCGTGGCACAGGGTTGCCATCCTCCCAGGGCTCCCTAACCCTCCCTGGGTTAGGAAAACATGGGGGAACGCAGGTCCAAGCACCAAAGCAGGGCTTTGCCAATGGATGCCATCTCGGCAAAAGCTTCAGGTGGGGCGTCCAGCAGATCTCAACCCATCCCCAAGACCCCAAACTTCCCTGAACCTCATTTAAGCTCCTCATACACTTGCTCTTGCAACATTCCCGGCTGGGAAGGGAGAGATTCCATACCTGTTTATGCATTTAAGTGCTGCCATTACAAATGAGAATAAAACCAGAAAAACAACGTAAGGAGGCAGAGGGAGGATGGGAACCTGAGCACGGAAGAGCAGGGAGGGAGAGTCCCCAGCTTGGGAGACTCAAGCTTAAATGTAGAGGTTCACCAAAGACTTAGAAAGGCTTTTATGGTCTCTGAGGAACGTCACCAGGAATCAGCCCCTGCTCCTGCGAATTAACTCAGGGCTGGCTTGGAAGAGGGCTAAGGATGAGTCTAGGAGGAGACAGGGAGGGAAGTGTGGGGGTCTGGCATCCCTCGAGTGCACCCGCCAGGCTGGATCGCTCCAGCGACTTGACGGCAGCAGAGGAATCCCCTGATCCAGGTGGATTTGAGGCTGCGGCTGCGCTGGGGACCCAGGTGACAGCTTCCCTGCTCTGCTGGCCTCCAGAGCTCTTCCCTCTGCTTTACTGTGGCCAGGCAGCTCCAGTGGGCATGGCACAGTCTGGGCACCAATTACTAGCCCTGTGCCATGCTGTTCTCTCCAGCTAAAACATGTGTGTGCTGTGCTCTGGGCTGCCCTCAGGACCCATCCCTGCCCTGTGGTACTCACAACCCCGATGGAGAAGTAGTTGTTGATGATGGTGGATGGGACAGGGTCTCCGTTGGCACCTCTGTCGCTGGGAATGACATCTATCTGCCAGCGGTCCAGCATCACCTCCGTGCTGTGCTCGATGTCCTTCAGGACCTTCATCAGGTTGCCTCCTTCATAGCCTGTAAGGGAAAGAAGGTGGTCATCATCGGAGAATGAAGGAGGACAAAGGGGAGCATGGCCATGTCATGTGGGGCTGGAGGTAGTCAGGTGCCGAGCACCCAGGGCAGCCTGGGGCTGCTGCTACAGCACCAGCAAGATGCCCAGCTCATCCTTGCAACAGTGGCAGAGATTTCAGCTAACGGCTCTCCCAGATGAAAAAGGTTGTTGGGCTGATCTGGGTTTAGAAAGCAGCAGCTGCTTTTTTTGGAAGGGGTCAGAGGCACCATCAGGAGGCACCAGGGCTGAGATGCAGCCCCAAGCCTTGTCCCAAGAGCCCGGGAGCCCTCCCTCCCCGAGGACAGCACCCACCCAGCCGCACCGGACAGTCCCCGCAGGGTGGCCGGTCCCCAGGCGATGCTCGCCCGGCCTCACCTCCTCCCCAGCGCAGGCATCGGGCCAGGTCATTGCCCGTTCCCAGGGGCAGGATGGCCACCGGCGGGTGCTTCACCAAGTTCGCCTTGTCTGCAATTCAAGAGGAAAGAGAGATTTGGGGCTGAAAGGGCTCATTCCCTGCTCCTCTCCATGTCCCTCCTCGGCCGGCACTCCAGGTTGGGGAGCCCAGGGGTGATGTTGTTGGCCCCGCTCTCACCAGGGGAATATTGGGAACCCATGGCAGATCACCGAGGACATGGGTGGATGGTGCTCTGAGGGAGCATGGCCAGTCCTTGCTCACCTATGCAGTCCAGGATCCAGCCCACCGTGCCGTCTCCGCCGCAGGCCAGGACACGGAAATCCGGAGCGTCCCGAAAGAAACTCAGCCTGGAGAAAGCCAGGAGAGACAAGGGGTGACATGGGGGAGCAGGGGCCGGCGGGAGGGGGCAGAGGATCAGCCGCAGCATCTCCGTACCCCGGTGCGGGCCCGCCACGGTCCAGGTTGTACACTTGGCGTGGGTTGAGCAGGTAGTGAAATTTCCGAAGGACCCTGGGAAAAGAGGCACATGAGGGACACCGCGGAGGTGAGTTCCCATCTGGGAGAGGTGCTGGGGCAGCCCAAGGAACCAGCAGCCCCTGACCCCAGCGGGAATGCTCTCCCCGGGCAGGATCCCACCTACCGCTCCCCTTGCCTTCCTCCACTCTTGGGGTTCACAAGCACCAGGAGGGGGTGTGTCCCAGGCCGGGGGCTGATCTGGAGGGCAGAAAGCGTGGCTGCGAATGCCCAGCCACTGCGGGGCTCGGCACGCACCCACGGCAGAGCTCGCCAGCAGCCTGGCATGGGAACCTACCTGCAGTCCTTGCCCATCCACTGTGGTGGAGTTGAACTTGAAGCCCTGGTTGTCCTCGGGGCTGGTGCTGGCAGGGGAGTCGCTCTCAGATCTCCGGCAGTGGGACTGCCTGTCCTTTGGGGAACAGAGGCGCGGATGCGCACGCTGCCTCAAGAAGGCAGTGCTGGCAGCCGGGGAGGCAGGTTGGCCGCAGCAATGCCCTGCTGGGTCCCTGCCACCCGGCAGCAAGGAGGGGGGCACTTACCAGGACAACGGGGCAGATGTAGGAAGGCAGCAGGATGTGATCCCGCAGCAGGCCCCCATCGCACTCCGGCTTCACATGGGAGGCACATTTGTTGTGGAGCTGGAGGCGGGGGAGGAAGGCACGTTGGGTAGGGGACACCCAGCCATCTCCTATTCATGAGCGTCTCCTCCCCAGGGGCTGGCCGTGTGGGGTGTGCTGCGGGGTGCACTCCGGGCCCCCCATGCCCATGTACTCACGGTGACTTGGCACCAGACGCAGTGCAGGCCAGTGATGCCCTGGTAGCATTTGATGCTCTTGTGGCATCTGTCGCACTTGACAGGGGAATTGCCCTCGATCCAGGTGTGTTGCATCACCTGCAAGGCACAGCGGGGCACTGCAGGTGCAGCACCCAACCCACGGGCATCTCCTCGCCACTAAGGGCTGTCACCATGATTTTGGAGGGTGGCCTGTTGTGCAGGGATGCTGACTGATCCAAACCAGCCCCTTGCATGGCTGCCTTCCCTCCCTGATGCTCCATGCAGCACATTGAGGACATCCGTCCCCCACCCAGAGCCACAACAAACTTCGGGGCTGGGGGTCCTGCGGGTCCCCAGGGGCCCTGCCAGGCCATGGATGCTGGGAATGCCCGTGAGCTGCTGCCCAGGACCCGAGGGGCAAATCTCAGGGGGAAAAAGCCATGGGGGACTAGGGCAGGAGACCGAGGAGCCAGCTGCTGCTGGTGGTGCTGCCTCCGGGAGGGCTCCATGGGAGACGCGCCAGCTCAGAAACATGCTGGCTGCCTACTCACACTCGTGTTTCTCTTGGACTTCACATAGGTGCTGATGCAGGAGGCGATATCTTTGGATACACACCTCTCGTGGACAGTGTACTTGCAGACTGGCGGAAGAGAAGAAGGTGGTAAGCATCATCCCCGGGCACTGCCCCTCCTGCTCACCCTGCAGCACCCACAGGGCTCAGCACTGATGGAGGCCAGTCCCCCCTCCCCGGGGCACTGGGATGGGGCGGGAGCCACCAGCGTTGGGGCATGGGGGGGGGCAGGGACTCACAGGAGCAGCAGAGGCCCTGCTTGCGGACCCCCAGCAGCATGGTGCGGCAGAAGTTGCAGTAGGCGGGTTTCTTGAAGTGCTTCAGCCTCCAGGCATGCTGCCCATCATCCTTCACGTTCTGCAGGGCAGGAGAGCAGAGGGCAAGGGGAGTTACTCCCCCACCGGGCGTCCCAGCCCACCACTTTTATCAGCTTTTCGTCTGGTAAAAGCGTGTCTGTGGGAGTCTGCAGGACCACATGCTCCCCCTGCTGCCCTTCTCCCCGATGTTCCTCATGCATCGCTACTGCCACATCCCCCGGCTCCCCGGGCATGTCCAGCTCCTGGCACCAAGCTCTGGCTCCCCAGGGCCCCTCGGCATAGTCCGGCTGCAGGAATGCTCTGCCAGTGGCCGACAGAAAGAAGGTGACTCCACATCTGGGGCCAGACCACTGCTACCACAGGGTGACCAAAGGAAGCCTCTTACATCTGGGTCCAGGCACAAGCGTTTTACAGGAGCCACTTAAAATTCCGTTTTCTTGAATCTTCCTGCCAGAAAACCTGCGCCCCCACCTCGTTGTGGGAAGCAAACACCAGGAACGGGCACTGGGGAGCAAAAACCTGGATTTTCCCTGCAAACTATTACCTGATGTCCAAGGATTCACCTCGATGAAACGAAGGCCAAAAGGATGAAAAAACAACACAGGGAAATAAGGGGGGTCCCAAACCACCCCACCTCTGCTCTTTGAAGCTCACCCCAGGAGAGGAGCTGGCATTTTAGGTGCTCATCCTATTTTTTGATTAAATTCATCAAAATTTAATCAAAAAGCGGAGCGTGCTACGACAGCAAGTAGCGAGCCCAGCCTGCTCAGGCACGGCAGCTGGCAACGCCCACAGCTCAAAACTGAGCTTAGGAAGATTTGGGGGGCAAAGGCTGGTCAGCAGAGGCAGGGCAGGGGTGTCTGCAGGGGCTGGGGAGCCGGGGCCGGTGTGGGGCTGTGCGGTGCCGGACGGGTGCATGGCGTGTTGCCGGGGGTAGGGTGCCCTCCGGTGGTTCCTGCGTGCCCTCCATCATCACCCTCCTCTCACGGGCTTTCCTCCAGGAGCAGGCAGGGTGGCTGGATGCAGCCGAAGCAGGTCCCAGTGCAGGCACTCACCGTCTCCATCCCCAGGAGGACCAGCAAGGGGATGGTGGTCATGCCGCCCCGGATCCACTCCTCCAGTGTCACGGTCCCATCATGGTCGTAGTCGATCTCCTCCATCATTGCCTTCAAGATCTGGAGGAGGGAGGAGACGCGGTGACATGGCGATGCCACCTGCGAACCCTGGCTGCCAGCTCCGGCCGAGAGCCCCCGCGGCCTCCCCAGCCCCGGCACTCACGGGCCTCAGCTCGGTGGAGTCCCACTCCAGGTACTCAGCCACGTGCACCATCTGGTTGATGATCCGATCCAGCTCCTGGGCACAGGAAGACGACAGTGCCCAGGGCTTAGGGATGACTTTGGGCACGAGCGGCGTGTCCAGCCTCAAGCCCCCAAACCGGGGACATATGAGGTCTACATCCCGATACGCCCGAGGCTGCCCCAGGCCCCCGCCCGCACAGGGTGCCAGCGACCCCCTGACTTCTTGGTGGGTGCTGGCTGCTGCTTTCTCCTCTGAAAATCTGCCAGAAAATCTGCAGTGGGTTTTCCCGTGGAAAAAACTGCTCTGATAAAACAGATTTTTATTTGCAACAGGTTTCAAGGGAGATACCCAAAGGACAAAGAGAAAACATCCCAGGAAGGGGCAGTTGTGCACAATTTTTACGTTTCTGAAACACCGTGACCTGATGTAGAGCTACAATTATTGGTGGGTGGATTTTCTAGAGGTGGTGCTGGATGCTGCAGAGCTGGTGCACATCCCCCAGCCCCACAGTCTGGCCCCACAGCAAATGCTGCTGCCTTCCTCCTCCCTTCCCATGTCCCTGTTCAGCTCGGAGCGCCTCACCGGGGGAGTGGGCACCCCAATAGGGCCCTGTTTGTCTCCAGCCCCCAGAGTGGCCCCAGCTTTCTGTCCCAAGGGAAGACTTACCGAGCTGTCCAGGAGGCCATTTCCATCAGTGTCGTAGAGGCGAAACATAACTGGAGGGAGAAGAGAAGCTGGCTGCCGGTTAGAGCCCCAGGGCTGCGGGATGGGAGCAGTGTCGCTCCGGCTCAGCCCGGGTGAGATGTGGCCTGAGTCCGTATTGGGCTGCAGGGTATTGGAGGGAAGCCGCGGCCCCTCCGGCTGCCCCTCTGCCGGGCACAGGTGCCGACAGGCAGGAGCAGGGTGATGCTGAATGGGGTCCTTTTCTAGCAATAACCCACCCAGGAGCTGAAGCTGGGTTTCCCAAGTGGTTTTAATGTTTCAGCATTAAAAAGTGAGCAGGAGTGCCCAGCCCCACACGCCTACTCAAGCAGATCCCCCAGGCGATGCCTCCCACCACTGGTCCCCACTCCACACGGTGCGACCGGCAGCCCATGACCCCAGGATCCCACTTACACTCCAGCTTGTCCTCTGCCCGTCCCCTCTCCAGCAGGGACAGGTAGCAGACGATGTCCTTCAGGTGGACCACCTGGGGCAGGGGGGTGGGGGGCGGCGGCAG